GGCGCTGCCTTTTTAAAAAAGCCACCTGCCTTGCCCCACTGCAGGCAGGCGTGCCTCCGCGGCTCGCTGCTGGCAGCAGATCTGAACGAGGCTGTATCCACAAACCCAAGCGGTTTTCCCACAAGAACAACAAAAAAAGCAACACACGCACTCGGCACGGAATCAGCACGGGAGGCGGTTATGCGGAGCTGTCGAGGTTTTGTTGCAAAACACCGAGCGTCGATGGCGTAACGTGCGCCCGTTTCAATGACAGCTCTTGGCTCAGATGCAGCAAGGAGGTATGACTACTAATGCACTCCGTAGGGAGTATTTGCTGCTTTATCTCTAGGATTTGGAACATCTGTCCCTCCCTCCCTGTCTCCCTGAGATGGGGATGAGTACTTTTTCTACCACAGCTCTGGCGTTAGTTGAGCAGTGAGTAGATGCAGGTTATCACAACAGATCAGGTGACAGTGGCTTGGTGGAAGCCCCTGTTCCTCCAGGCAGATAAACCGGAGTCAGACCTAAGGAAGGGCACACACAAGGGAGCTGGCAATAAAGCTCAGGCTCTGAGGTCCCGTTCTGAATGGAGACAATCCCCCTTCCAAAAGGGATTTTGATGGGTCACAACAGTCTGGGGAGGACCAGTGGTGGAGAGGGAAGGGGGTTACTGGCAGCTCTCTCATAGTCAGAGACAAGAAAGGAACGGTGATCTCCACTGTCAAGTGACTTGAGAGACAGTTCCCAGCTGAATACTGCTTGGAAATTTGAGATCTAATTAAAGCAGGCCTTGGATCTCATCATTCTTCCTGCACGCCTGGGACAATGAAATACTGACTCCTGCATCTGTTCTGTATGTGTATTTGATGCAAATAAGGAAGAAGTCTGTAAATACATCAAAAACCATACTTTATTTTATGTATAGCAATACAATTTACATATTAAATAACACTATAATAGAATGATTTGATATAGTTTAACATAACAAAAAGAAGATTCTTCAAGTTACAAAAAACCCCCAAACAAAAACCAAAACAAAACGAACAAAAAATCTCCCTCAGAATACTCCCTCCCACCCTCTCCCCAAACCAAACACCACATTTTTTTTTTTTCTGAATGGATCAATGAGACAAACGTATCCAGTGACTGGCTAAGTCTAATTCCTATTGCACACACTGACAATGGAATCCAAAAAAAAAAATCCAACTTTCACAATCACTGCCCCAAAGAAATGACATGTGTGGAAATCTTTTTTGGAGTGTGATGATGGTGTCTCACTACCTCGATACACAGAAGGTATGTATTCACATAGCCACCACAGAACTAGGAAGGAGGTGAAACTAGAAAAAAATTAGCTTTATATGAAAATATAAAATTCTATGATTATATACCATAGATACAAAGTTCCCAGAAGATGCTTATCCAAGCAACAAAATATTTACAGTTTTAATGACTTTGCTATTTTAAAAATGAAGGAAAAGAAAACAGGAGTACACATGAATGCTTCGGTCTTTAGAAACAATGGCTGCTTGCTAATTTCAAATGTTCTAACAAAACAAAAAAAGTCACTACCCCAAATGTTGGAGAGTTGTGACATTGTATAAAATTGACTATCTCCTCTTTTGGAGACGTTTATTCTTAAAACTCAAGACATTTTTCTTGAAATTAATTATCTTCTGTAGAAAATGCTTCCCTTTGCAAATAGTTAACAAAAACACTAAAAACAGTTTAACAGCTAAGACAAAGTAGAGGCCAAATCTCTTCATTACAGGTCCTTCTCTTTATTTTTGCATTCCTTCTCCTTTGATAAGTAAAGCCAATGTAGTTCACATTGTTAGGATGGCAACAAAGAGAAGAAGAGCAAAGGGGTAACAGTAAGAGTTGAATTACATCTGTAAAAAAAAAAAAAAAGAAAAAGAAAAAGAACAAAAGCAATGCAGTGGATTAACAAATAGGCATTTTCCCTTCATATAAAAATTCACTGGCACCATTTGAACATAAACTTCGGAACACAAGATCTGATGTCAGAAGACATGAATTTGAGAAAGACTGCTAAATCTTTAAGACAACTACGTTTTAATTTTTTTTTTAAATTAAGTTGGTTTTGTTTTGCTGAGAATTAGTAGTATGTATCTTTGGTAGAATCGATATCTATATTTTTTAGCTTTTAAATAAAATATATCAGCTTAAAAAAAGATTAATAAGAAGGCAGTTGTGCTGTGTCATAAAGATTCTTCTCCTAATGTTCCAATATATCACTCTGGGTTCAAGCAATTCAAGCAGTCAGAAACTGGAAAAACAAGTGAAATTTTGCAGATCCTGTAAATGATTCCACTAACCTAGAACAGACCCACAGTACAGAAATAGTCACACACAAGACGTAGTTTCAGGGTTTGGGATTTTTCTTTTCCCTGTTCCTAAATTCATATTTGGAAACAGACACTGTGAAATACTAAGGACAAATGCTGGCTAAAATGAATGTTCTTTAGAGGTTGGTCCTGCAGAAGAATCGGTGCTTAGCCTGCACGCCTGAGCAGTCCTACTGGCTCTCCCAGACCTGCCTACCGATGCCAAGTTCACGTACAGGAGTGTTTGTAGGATGGGGCATGCGGCTGAGACTGCCACCCATTTTAGATGTTAAGATGACACAGCAGCTTTCCAAGCATTCCCTCTTGGAAAGCTTGGCTGCTCTTACGGGTTCAACGCACCGAAGTCTTTAATGTCTTTCACATGGTCTGCGGGCGCAGTACACGTGCCAAGACGTGGAGAAATATTTTCTAAATGTAGACACACACATATGCCCGTGTACTTCAGTCCTTTATTTCCTTATTTCTCAGGGCTGGTGCTGAGGACCACATTTTATAGTGATGGGATATACTCAGGTTCTCTTAATTTGCAGGCCTGCACATTGTCTGGGAACTTCTGATGCTTGAAAGACATCCCGACCGAATGCCAAGAAGTGGTTACAGCGGGGGGGTTGGTGCGGCAGAAGCAAGGTTGCGATGCACAGAGTGGGACTTTGGCCAGAGAGACTCACGAGAGCATCTCAGCGGAGCTCTACGAGCGCGGGTCTCTGAACACACACCCACTCCTTCTGCCAGTCTCGCTCAGTCCCAGGGA